TTGGCAATATTCTGGCTCTATCTAAGCAGCTGGGAAATGGGTGCGGAGTGTGTTGACACTGAAATTAGATTACAAAATTGCGAACATTAACTTTTCTGCTTTTTCTGCATATAGTCATATTAGTCTGCATAGCAGGAAACTACTGGACTTTTGTTAGGGTTATTACATTTCTCACCACATTTAAGTGCATGAATGAAGAACGATTGGGTTTCACTAAGGAAAATGGATTTTGACTGTGGAGAGGAAATTTATTTTGCTTTGTCTCGGGAATGAGATAAATGGATTGGCGAGGAACTGATTGTGAGGAGAATTGATTGGAAAAATAGGTAGACACTCGATATTTAGGAAATATACTATGTGTGCTCTAGTGGCTGGTGAGAACCAAAGAGAAATTATTATTGATTAGAATTACATTTGTCTAGAGGCAAAAGGGGTTGATTCTGTGCTTTTGCTTTGCTTCGTCTTTTAGGGTGGTGGAAATTATTTTCATTATGCATACAAATACTTCAGTTTTATGGACAATTATTTTGGAGGACGTGCTGCGATGCACATGCTAAGTGGGAGAAAGAAAAGATGGGAACAATCTTAAAGTGACAATATCTAATGGTGAATCAACAGGGTGGAGCACCTCCCCGATGACTAATGTTTGCCCCATTTGGTACTTTTTAGGCAAGTTCTTAAAGAAATGGGAGTGCCTGATTACCTCATCTGTCTCCTGAGAAATCTCTATGTGGGACAAGAAGCTACAGTTAGAACTGGATATGGAACAACTGCTTGGTTCAAAATTGGGAAAGGAGTACGGCAAGGCTGTATATTGTCTCCCTGCTTATTTAACTTATATGCAGAATTCATCATGCGAAAGGCTGGGCGGGATGAATCCCTAGCCGGAATTAAGATTGCCGAAAGAAATATCAACAACCTCAGATATGCAGATGACACAACCTTGATGGCAGAAAGTGAGGAGGAATTAAAGAACCTTTTAATGAGGGTGAAAGAGGAGAGCGTAAAATATGGTCTGAAGCTCAACATAAAAAAAACGAAGATCATGGCCACTGGGCCCATCACCTCCTGGCAAACAGAAGGGGAAGAAATGGAGGCAGTGAGAGATTTTACTTTCTTGGGCTCCATGATCACTGCAGATGGTGACAGCAGCCATGAAATTAAAAGACGTCTGCTTCTTGGGAGAAAAGCAATGACAAACCTAGACAGCATCTTAAAAAGTAGAGACATCACCTTGCCAACAAAGGACCTTATAGTAAAAGCTATGGTTTTCCCATTAGTGATGTATGGAAGTGAGAGCTGGACCATAAAGAAGGCTGATCGCCGAAGAATTGATGCTTTTGAATTATGGTGCTGGAGGAGACTCTTGAGAGTCCCATGGACTGCAAGAAGATCAAACGTATCCATTCTGAAGGAAATCAGCCCTGAGTGCTCACTGGAAGGACAGATCCTGAAGCTGAGGCTCCAATACTTTGGCCACCTCATGAGAAGAGAAGACTCCTGGAAAAGACCCTGATGTTGGGAAAGATGGAGGGCACAAGGAGAAGGGGACGACAGAGGACGAGATGGCTGGACAGTGTTCTCGAAGCTACCAGCATGAGTTTGACCAAACTGCGGGAGGCAGTGGAAGACAGGAGTGCCTGGCGTGCTCTGGTCCATGGGGTCACGAAGAGTCAGACACGACTAAGCGACTAAACAACAACAACAAAGTTTAGAGGAAAGGCAAGTAGGGGGTGACGTTATAGAAGTTTATAGAATTAAGCACGGCATGGAGAAAGCGGATAGAGGATAGTCATAACACTAGAAGCCATGGACAACCAATGAAGATGAATATTGTAAGAATTATGACTTATACAAGAAAGTGCTTCTTCATGCAGAACATAGCCAAATTGTGGAATGTTGCCCCCACAAGAGGCACAGAGAGCCACCATCATAGATAGCTCTGAAAGAGAATGAAGCAAAATTTAATGGAGGACAAGACTTTTTTTATGGCTACAAGCATGATAGCTATGCTCTATCTCCACAGCTGGAGTCAACAATGCTTCTGAAGAACAGTTGCTGGAAACCATGAGAGGTGAAAGTCCTCTTTTGCTCATATTCTGTTCTTTGGTTTCCCACAGGCATGTAGCAGGCCGCTATGAGGATGGGATGCTAGGCTAGAAGAGACATGATCCAGCAAGCTATTGTGATGTTCTTAGGATGAGCTTTCGATTAGCATCCAAATTTCCATAACCAAGGAAGGGGTTTCCTCTATATTTCACCTGCTGCTTAATATTTCTTCATACAAATGCACAATATGTACATGTATATTAAGAAATATTTCACAGGCCATTGGATCTCAAAACTTTACAGTATTTTGGCTGTGCGTCCGTGCTACTAGTAAGTTGAGAATGCCAGCAGAAATGGGAAATGAGGTCCTATTTTAATTCAAGTGCCCACTGGGCACACAGGTACCATATTAACATCTTTCCATTAACCTCAGCCTTGATCCAGAGACTATTCTGTGTAGTCAGCATGGCTTAATTATGAGGCCTTCACTGCATAAAACCCAACAGAAATGGTGTCAAGGTGCACCTGCTTCTATTACAAAATAGCCCCCTGGGTGGTTAGTGAAACCAGATTATTTCATTTTTTGGCCATTCCATGAATTTTGAATATGCTTATATCAAAACATAATATATTGCCATCATTGTTGTTGTCGTCATTATCATCATGAATCAGTTCAACAGCTTTGCTTGTTGTTGTTTATTTTGGAGGGGAGGGTAGAATTTCCAGGGTGAAGCAACACCTTCATTTTAGGGTCTATTAGGAACACCCTAAGAAACTTTGTAAAACCGCTGGGACATAAATTGAACATCTTCTAGATAGCTAATTATAGTTTATCGCTCGCTTGGGAGTGATGTCGTTCAGGGAGCTGCTCAAGTGGAAATATTTATGCTAATCAGTTTCTATTTTCACAATCCTCTAGGATTAGGGCATCTTTTGGTTTAGGCATCTATATAGGTTTAGTCATTTATATGGTACTTCAGCATATTTCAGTATTTTCAAAATACTTTCTTCTACGGTGATCAAGCTAAAGGCAGGAGTTTGAAGATTTTGCTGATCATACGCACAGTTGTCAGGGCTTAGTATGAGTCAAAGCTTTCAGCTGCTTAGCCCTAGAAAGTCGTCCCCCCCCCCACCGCCGCTGCCCCCAATCCTAGGGGTCAATTTTGAGGCATGTCATCAGAATGAAGAATAATTTTATTTACATCTACATGAGAGTCCCAAAATATCACATTACATCGGAACTTTTCATTTTGGTAAGATTTTAAATTTACATATGCAGTAATAATAGACAGACATGTCCCCAGACCAGAGTAACATGGGCTCCGTAAATACCATGGATGTGTGCTTTATGGCAACAGTCATTTTAGAAAAGGGTGAGGAACATTTTCCCCCTTTGAGGGCTTAATTTCCCCTGGGACAATTGATTGAGCACTGCATGGCAGTGGTAGGTGGAGCTGGAGCCAAATTAGGTGGCATCAAAGTCTCTCTCTCTCTCTCTCTCTCTCTCTCTCTCTCTCACACACACACACACACACACACACACACCATATATATATATATTCACTGTCCGCTGGCAGTAGGAGTACAATATGGGTATGTCTTTAAGTTAACATCTTACATTAAAAACCTGACAGTACCAAACTATCAAAGGTTATTCACCAAAGCCAGACTAAACGTCTTTCCTTCTGCAGTGTTGGATGGCAGGTTGAGAGGAGTTCCCTACCAGGACAGACTTTGCTCATGTACTCAAGACATCGATTCCAAAAAACGTATTTTGTTGCATTGTGCAAAATATGAGCAAGCCAGGCCTGAACTGATACTACCCTTGCTGGTACCTTTCCCGGGAAAATCAGAGGCCCACTATATCAGGTTCCTACTGGAAGACCGGACAAATGCTAGAAAAATGCTTTGCAGTGGCAAAGTTTTTATCGGTGGTTGCAAGAATAAATGATCCCTATATTCTGAACAAAATGCTTGTTTAACCTGGAGGTAGGCTGTATGAATTGTGTATTGCTTTGTAATGATTTGTTGGGTCTCTGGACCGTAATAAAGATTGATATTATATATTTGCAGAGAGAATTAAACAACCTTTTATCCACAACTCATTCATTCCCTCTTATTCACACCCCACCCCTACATTCACACAGACAACAGGCACCCCACTCTTTCTCACACCCTTATCCTCCTACTGTGTGCCAAAGCCCCATGGTCCGTGGTTGCTAGTGGATAAATAAAACACACAAGAAATCATATTTGGGTTTATGGGTTCAAATAGGACACAAATTTATTGGTTACAAATGTGAGCGGTTTGGCTTGGGCATAGGTTAAAGCCAGGCTATATCCCAACGCCCACCCATCTGCTGGGAGTTCAACTAAGAGTAAGGTAAAAGGTAAAAAAGTAAAGGATTCCTGGATGGTTAAGTTCAGTAAAAGGCGACTATGGGGTTACAGTGCTCATATCGCTTTCAGGCTGAGGGAGCCAGCGTTTGTCCACAGACAGGTTTCCGGGTAATGTGGCCAGCATGACTAAACTGCTACTGGTGCAATGGGACACCATGACGAGTGCCAGAGGACACAAAAACACTGTTTACCTTCCCACTGCAGTGGTACCTATTTATCTACTTGCACTGGCGTGCTTTCGAACTGCTAGGCTGGCAGGAGCTGGGACAGAGCAATGGGATCTCACCCTGTCACGGGGATTTGAACCTCTGACCTTCCAATCAGAAGTGCAAGATTCTCAGTGGTTTAGACCCCAGCTCCATCCGTGTCCTGACTAAACAAGCACACAATCACTGATAGGTCCACTCGCCATTGTGAGACTCAAAGCAATGAAGATGATGCCTCCTCAGCTGTTGCCATTGGCTGTGTGTTTCTTGTGATGTCACAAAGCACTTGGCAACTGAGAGGGTATAAAGGCAGGCCAAGGGGAAAGCCCTTTTTTATTTCCAACAAGACACACCTGGCAATGGATGTGACATTTGGCAATGGATGTGACACACCTACACACTGCAGCTGACACACTAACGTGTCAGGACACAGTTTGGAAAGCTTTGCCTTAGGGATTCCACTCTGAATTTGTGCAGCGTTTACTCCATAGGCTTTTCTTCTCCTGAAGATGTCCCACAAGGCAGTGCGTATGGATTGTTCCTCATGGTTTACTCCCAAAGCCTATCTTATGAATGAGTATAGCTGCAATCAGTGGTGGTTTATGATCAGAGTTTTCCTTTCCCTAGATGAGCTACCTTCCCAGGTATTTATTTATTTATTTATTTATTTATACCCGCCCATCTGGCTGGGTTTCCCCAGCCACTCTGGGTGGTTCCCAACAGAATAATAATAATAATAATAATAATAGATCAAACATGAAAAACTTCCCTAAATTGGTTGATGTTATGGCTTGGTCTCTCCCACAAATGTGAGATGACTCTGGCTGTTAATTATTTCAGATTCATTGCTAAAACAACAACCTAGGATGGAGCTCCTCTACTCATCGCCCTCCCCAGAAGATGGAGTTGCCCGGATTGAGCTCCTCCCCCTTCCCCAGCATGGAAGCCCCCACCTTCTCTTCCAGTATCTTTTTTTTTTAAAATGATATTTATTGAAAAAAGAATTTTTTAAAAAAATTACAAAGAAAAAAGACAAAACAGAAAAATAAAAAGAAAAAATAAAACCATCATTTTCAAATTCTCCACTTTCATTACCTTCTTTCTATGACCTCCTCCTCCTCCCTTTTCTTGTATCTTGATTAATAGTTGTCACAGCAAATCCTTTCCATAATTCATAGTATTCTGTCATTGCATTACCTTACTCTATTTTCATCTTATCTTATAAAAACCTTAAAGCTTAAGACTTAAATCTTATTTTTACCAACTTCTCATAACCATTACCTTTTTACCTAATTCTTTAAACATTTTTACAAGAGCCAAGTAATTTCATTTCAACATTTTCCTAACATTCATCAATTTTATAAAACATTCCTAATGATAGAAAAAAGAAATAAGAACAATCCAATCTTCTTCCAGCGTCCCTTCCTCCTGGTCCCGGGTTTGTCAGTCCTTTATCCCATTAGTCTGGCACATTAACCTGGTGATCTTATATCCGAGGCCTTCAAGTCTCTTCCATGTCCCTTCCACAGCTCTTCTTCATATTTTCCTTTCACTCGTGGGAACTCCAGCTTGGTAGTGTTTTTGACCCTTTTCAACAAATCAGCCCCTTTCCCATAGTCCAGACTAGACTCCATGTGGTATTTTAAGACATGTTTCAAATTCCCTCCAAAATTGGGAGCCCCCACAGCTCCAAACATCTGATGGCCCATTGCCAGACTCGGAAAGTCCAAACATCTCTGCATAGGGGGGTCAGTCCAACCCCCCATTTCCAAATCAATCCAAACTTTATCTTTCCAAATCTGGTTTTTTCCATTTGTCAAATCCAAAGGCTCATTTTCCTGCAGGGCCAAAAGTTCCTCCCTTTCTGGCATCCAAGATTCAGCAACATCCTCTTCTCTCAACTGTTCTGTCATGGCACACTCCTGTTTAAGTTCCTGGGTGGGCTCCATATGGTTTCCCACTACCTGTTCAAATGTTCTGGCCGCATTAGTCATCAAATCCGTCTTCTGGCTTAACTGATCCAATAGGGCATTTATTTTACAGAAAGCACCCAACAGTGCTTCTGAAAACATTGTCCTGCAAGGTCACAAGTCCTTTCCCACGGTTGTAATCTGTGGCAGCTGCAAGCTCCCTAGAATTAGTTACAGTTTCACAGTCCCCTTCTAGGGGGAAACTTCTGGTTGTTCTTTCTTTTAAAGACAATAGCAACAAAGTTTCTTTTTTTTAAAGATATTTTGTCAATATTTGTTCCTTTAAAATGCGAAAGGAAACAGTGGAATCACAATGTTACTCTTCTTTTAACTGTCTGTCAAAAACATTTGTCTCTGGTCAATGAGCTTCAAACGTCAATTCTGACACCCCGCTCCAGGATCAGGACGGTGGAAAGTTACTTTACTTTAAACTCACTTCTGCAGGTTTAAACAGTCCAAAAAAGGTCCCCCTTCTTCTCCTGCTACCGAAGGGGAGGGGGGGTTTCAACGATTTTAAATGGTGAAAACCAATCCTTTGAAAGTGATTTTCTAAGCTCTGGTTTACTTTGTCTTTGCTTTCTTCTGACTACAAGGAAACGGAAGGCTGACTTCCTGTTTAGACCTTCCTGTTTCAGTACCAAATTAAGGTAAATTTTTAAGTCCAATTCCTTTCTAATCGCCAGTTCTTATTTGAAGTCCAATTGTTCAATGTTTAAGTACTCACGGGTGATTATTTTAGATGCCAAATTGTCCCAGGAAAAAGGCAGCGCTCTCCGGCAACGGCTATGTGGCTTCGCTCCACGGAAAAAGCAATTGACTCACAGCACCACGCCACTTCCCCCTCTTCGCTTCGGAGCCCATTAGTGGGTTCCTCTGCGGGTTGGGGGGGCGCTAAGGGTGCCCGCTGAGTCCCACGGTCACAGGCTTCATCCGCCTGTGATTTCTAAAAGGGTCCCCGCTTCACCGCAGCGGAAAAGACCCATTTTGCGCGGAGCTGGTCCCGCCGGTTCAGAGGGAGTCCTCCATTGCCGATGGCGCCACCCCGGAAGTCCCCAGTATCTTTCATGCTTCTCGGCCACTTTTGAGATCCTACAAGATTTGGGAGAGGATGCTTCCTGCATTCCAATGTCTGACTCACTATTGGAGCTCTCACACAGCTACCTGTCACTCTGGCCCTGTTTTACTTCTCCCCTTTGTTCAGAGCTCAGATGACAGCTGCTCTCGACCTCCTCTCTGCCTTCCACTGCTAACTGTCCTCTCCCAATGCCTGCTTCTCCTCTTGTCAACATCTGAGCTTTGCTGTCTGTTGATGAGCCTCATCTTCCCTTCATTTCAGTACCTTCAGTAACTGCCTTCTTGACCACTGGACCCACTAATGGTCTCATCTGCTTAATCTGCTGAAGCCTGTCTTCCCACACAGGGGAAATCCCTAACACACCAAGGCTTTGAGACCCATCAGCTATCCTCTCCTAGTTTAGCCGGCCAGTCGAAGCCATTCCTGGGGTGTGGCCTGCTGTTGCATGCTGGCACCTTATAGGAGCCACAGGTGAGAGCTGAGTGCAGGGTAGGGACCAAAGGTCTACCCAGAAGGAGCATGATATTCCCTCCACCAGAGATACTACTCCTTTCCTAACACTTCAGGCACCAGCATGACCTTTTTTTGTACAATTTAGGCATGAGAGACGGGATAAATTATCAGCACCTTGTTAAAGAAAGGGAATTGACACCCTCAAATAGTTCACTGAAATTCTCCTCTCCACCCAAAGGAGCAGAATTCCCCATCCTTTTGTGGGGAATGAATTGTCTCTTGAAAATGTAGAGGGGATTTTTTTTCCCCTACAGCAATACTAAAGCTTTAGGTACTCAAGAGACTTGCAGGTCTTATGAAAAGAATCGATATTGAGGCCTTATACTCTGCTAGACAGGGAGGAAATGCCCACAGGGCAATACACAGAGACAATACCAACACATGTAGCTAAACGTAACGGTTGTGCACAGCCCGTATATTTATAATGCATTGAAACCACATTATTTTCCTCAAGAAATCCTGGATACTGTAGTTTACCCCTCACAGGTCCCAAAAACCTTAACAAACTACGGATTATATGGGGGAAGTAATGTGCTGTTTTTGTATGGTGTGTCCACAGCCCAACTCTCTTCCTCACACCTGTTCCCATTGCAGAAGTCACAAGCCACTGATCAGCTTAAAAAGCTGTATTTCAGCTATGGGAATCAGCTTCAGGTGAGAAGAGATGTATTGCATGAAATCTCCAATGATACTGCCTAAACTAAAACAGTAACATTACATTTTCAGATGAATAAACAATGATACTCTCAGCCAAGCAGTTGTTTGGTAGATTTTCTCTACCAAACTACAATTTCCAGAGTTCCATGTGAAGATGAAATGACTATAAAAGTGGCATAAGTCTCCATTTTAGTATAAAGCCTTTAGAAGACATCCGAGAGCAGCACTATATGGGGAAGCTTTTAATGTGCAACATTTATTATGTTTTTATATATATTGAAAGCTGCCCAGAGTGGCTGGGGCAACCCAGTCTGATGGGCATTGTATAATAATAATAATAATAATAATAATAATAATAATAATTGCATTTGTTTTCACAGTCTGGTCCTATGCAGAGTAAGTGTGCTTAAACCTATGTGCTTAAACCTATTGAAACTTTTTGGAGTAAACATGACTAACTTTGAATGCATTTGGAGCCTTCTGGTGTACAATCGTATACCAAAATCTGATTTCTTTTGACAAATTGTGAGCAAGCTACAGAAAGAGAAATCAAGGAAAGTAATCCACATTGGTAAATGTTGTTGATAATCTCCATGTTTCATCACTCTGCAGCCTCCATTTCCTCGCTGCCTTACTTGCGAAAGACTGAAACATTTGCACCCAACTTCTTAATTTTCAACTCATTCCATGTAACACAAATGAGAGAGAAAGGAAAAGAGCACAGCAGATAAAACTTAATGAATGGAGGAGTCCTGACAACAGCAGCTATGTCCAGAGCCATAGGAATAAATCTCCATTAGTGTCAAGCCACGCGTTTTCACCACTGAGACTCGATTTTAAAAGTGAGGGAAATTAATCAGGATTTAGTGTAAACATAAAGTTTAGTAGGAAATCATCTTTCCAGAAATAATACTTTAAGACATTCCATGAGTGGATAAGTTAATGTGAGTAAAAAAAAAACTAAGGACAGAGTGGGGGAAAAACTTAACTTGGATATAATGTGTCCTCTGCCACAAGTCCATCGGCTGGGGGTTTGGGGGACAAGGGGCAGGGGGAGCATCCACCACCATTCCTGAAGAGATTCTGAGGTGGGGGCAGGCAATCCATGGCAGAAGAGGAGGGGTCCATCTAGTCCCCCCCCCGTGTGTGTCTTTGCCTCCCTCAGGGCTCACAATGGCCTACCTACAAAGGAGTGAGGGAGGCATCTGCAATGTTTAGAAGGTCAGAGTCACTGCAATGGTGGGAGGAAGACATGCAGACTGTAGGGAGGGTTTGGGTTTTTCAGCCAACCTACAGAAACCTGAATTTCCTTTGTCAGCAGGTAATCTTTATCAGGTAAAAAAAGGTAAAAGGCAAAGGACTCCTGGATGGTTAAGTTATGTCAAAGGCGACTGTGGGGTGTGGCACTCATCTCACTTTTCAGGCTGAGTGTGCTGGTCCCGGGGGTAAGGTACCTTGGGTGTAGCAGAGTCCACACGAAGAGGGGCAAGGTCCGAGGCAGAGAGCCGGGCGGGGAACAGGAATGCTGGAACAGGAGGCTGTGCAGGGAACAGGAACACCGGATGGTCGGGAACAGGAGGCCGAGCAGGGAACAGGAGTACCGGATAGTCAGGAACAGGAAGCCGAGCAGGGAACAGGAGTACCGGATAGTCAGGAACAGGAAGCCGAGCAGGGAACAGGAGCACAGGAAGGTCCGAAGCCAACAACGACGTTGCTCCCGCAACCTGGGGCCGGGCTGACTGGGCTTTTATCCTCTTCTAAGGCCAGGGGCGGTCCCGGTCCCCAGGAGCCCCGCCTCCTCTGGCCTTAAGGCGAGCACTCCTCCTGGGGGCAACCAGTTCCCTTCGCCTCTCTGCCCTAAGCCTCTGCAGATCAGGAGAGGCCGAAGGGTTACTGGGCCCTGGAGGAGGCTCACCTGTGGCCACTGAGTCATCAAGCCCCTCTGGGGCCAGAAGGGCTTCACCTGGGGCCAGCTCCTGATGCACTGCCACAGGTGCAGGCTCTTCAGCATCTAGGCCTTGCCCCAGTTCAGCCGGCCCTGGAGGCGGGGACTCCTGTGCAGGCTGGGATTCCTCTGTTTCATCCTCCGAATCGGAATCCCAGGCCATCACACCATCCCCCCTCCCAGGCCCCCCCCTCAACCGAGGGTCCGGACCCGGCTTGCCGGGGTACGTCGCATGGAACTCTCGGAGGCAGGCAGGTGCGTGGACATTGGCCGCTGGTTCCCAGGAACGGTCCTCCGGTCCGTACCCCTTCCAGTCAATGAGATACTGCAGCTTTCCCCTGCGGTATCGGGAGTCCAGGATGCGTTCCACCTCGTACTCAGGCTCTCCCCGAACCAACACTGGCTGCGGTCGGGGACGGTCCGGGTGGAACTCGTCGGGTGGGGCCACCGGACTCAAAAGGGACCTGTGGAAGACCGGGTGAACCTTCAGGGTTGCGGGTAACCGGAGACGGAATGCCACAGGAGAGATTTGGTCTACGATAGGGAACGGGCCGGTGAAGCGGGCGTCCAACTTCCGCGAAGGTCGAGAGGGGTGGAGGTGGCGAGTGGAGAGCCAAACCAGGTCACCGACGCGAGTTCCGGCCCCACCTGGCGGTGGCGGTCGGCCTGGGCTTTGTACGCTTCCTTGGCCTGGTGCAGTTGCTCCACCAAAAGCTGTTGCTGGGACTGGAGCTCTTGAAGCCACTCCGTCACCGCCGGGACCGCGGATGCCGGCAGCACCTCTGGAAACAGCCGTGGATGATAACCATAACTGGCCTGGAACGGGGTCTGCTGGGTGGACGCATTCACCGCGTTGTTATAGGCGAACTCCGCCAATGCCAGGTGGTCGACCCAGTCATCCTGCTGGTAGCTGCAGTAACACCGGAGGTACTGCTCCAGCACCGCGTTCGCCCGTTCCGTCTGGCCATCGGTCTGTGGGTGGTAGGCTGACGAGAGGCAGACCTCTGTCCCGAGGGTCTGGTGTAATGCTCGCCAGAACCGGGATGTGAACTGAACGCCCCGGTCGGACACCACGCGCTCAGGTAGTCCATGCAGGCGGAAGACATGCTGAAGGTACAGCTGAGCAGTTTCCTTGGCTGTGGGTACAGATGGACAGGGAGCGCAGTGCACCATCTTGGTGAAATGGTCGGAGAAAACCAGAAGGCAGGTACAGCCACGAGACGAGGGTAAGTCCACTACAAAGTCCAACGAAACCGTGTGCCAGGGGCGCGGTGGAACTGGCAATGGCTGAAGTAGGCCGGGGGGTCGCCCGGTAGGTCCCTTGGCGCGCCGGCAGACATCACAACCAGCAACGTAGCGAGCCACGTCAGCCTTCAGGCGGGGCCACCAAAACTCTCGACTGACCAGATGGGTGGTCCGATACCGTCCAAAGTGCCCCGCTGCTGGGGCATCATGGGCCATCCGGAGAACCTCCAGCCGTAGTGGCCCTGGCGGGATGTACAGACGACCGTGGTGCAGCAGAAGGCCCTGATGCAGGACCAGCCCCGGATACTGTGGGCTGGACCCTTCAGCCAGCTCCCGGAGTCGTTCCTGGGCCCAAGCGTCGACCCGCTGCTGTTCCCGCACCCGAACCTGCAGTGGCTGCGCCTCCTGGGTGGCCAGGAATGCAGCCGGAGGTAGGATCGTGGTGGGTTCTGCTTGCTGTACCGTGTCTGCGTTGTCTTCGGGTTTCCGGGACAGGGCATCCGCCTTCTGATTCTGAGAGCTAGGGATGTAGCGGATCCGGAACTGGAACCGGGAAAAGAACAACGCCCACCGGATCTGTCTTTGGTTATAATAATAATAATAATAATTTATTACGGCCGTAGGCCCATACAGATAAAAGCAAGACATAAATAACAGCCTGTGCACATGGGAAAAAAACAGCCGCTAAAACAATACTATAACAATAAGCTACTATAAGATGGAATGGCATACTACGCCTTAATTAGCTTGTGGTGCTCCTTGGCGCGCTTTTGGGTAAGGACAGCGACCAGGAACCTAGCCACTTTCAGGGTCGTATGGGCATCCTTATCCTGCAAGATTTGGGCAAGGTGGAATTTTGGTGGAGTACCCTCTAATTTCTGTATGATTGATCCCAACAAGTTTGCCCGTGGCACCTTAAATAAGGGGCAAGTGAACATAATGTGCTGAAGCGACTCCGGCATCTCCTTATCACATTCGCACATGGCGGAGGTTTGGCCCTTTGAGAATCAATGTCTCAGGACATTGGAGGAAAAACATTAAACCTCGCTTTGGTGAAGGCCAGCCTATGGGCAACAGTCGAAAGGGAGGAGAGGTATGATGGACCGCAATAAGTTAAAGTGATACCAATGGTCTGGGGCGAACAATCACCTGCACCCAGCCTATACTGTTGCGGTAAATCGATGTAATCCAGTCTTTGGCGGATCAGTCTTTGAGCAGTGAGTTGATCTAGTTTTTGGGAATCTAAGGAGAGATTCCATAGCTCAGGAGTTTGGCATGAATTCTACTGGTCCAAAGGCTGGGAATTCATCTCGCCATAAGCATTGGGCAAGGTAATGGTCTGGTAATCTATGCCACAATGATAACCAATAATTGAAGACTTGCTTCCACAGGCAGGTTTCTAAGGATGCGATCCTCAATTCTAAACGCATGGCTGCGTTGCTTACGCACAGGGGAGCATTAGGAGCCGACGTAGGAATTGGTTTGCAAAGTCTCAAGAGGAGCAAGGTCTGTCATCACGACCCAGAGCGGGGCAGCATAAGCAAGCACGGGAACCACTTTTGCCTTGAACACCTTTAGGGCCGAGGAACATGCAAAGCTCCATCCGAAAAGAAAAATCGGAGGAGCGCATATGACAGAGTTTTGGCCTTATTAAGTAGGTGTTGAATATGTGCTTTCCACCCCAAATTGTATTGAAAAATAACTCCTAGGTATTGAAATTTTAGGACTTGCTCTATTTTGCTCCACCAAGCTTCCATTCGTATAATCTCCGACTTCTGGCGAAAATCAGAATCTTAGATTTAGCATGATTGATGGTTAATTGGTTGAGTTGACAATACGTGGCAAAGATCTTCAGAGCTCTGGTTAGTCCAACACGTGTATAAGATAGAATTACCGCGTCGTCCGCATATAAAAGGAGTGGACAGCGGTAATCCGCTAGTCTAGGCGCATGTGTACTTGGAGATGAGTTGACTAGGGGTGCTCGCATGTCGCTGATGAATAGATTGAATAGGCAGGGGCCAATATACATCCTTGGCGCACTCCCTTGTTTATTGGTATCGAATTTGTGAGGTCGCCCGCAGGAGTAAGTCTCACTCTGGCAAGGGTACCTTCGTGGAGCTGACTTATAAGCCATAAGAGCCTTCTATCGATGCCCTGTTTCGCAAGTTTCTCCCAAAGAATATTTCTAGGAACGCTGTCGAAGGCTGCCTTAAGATCTAAGAAGGCAGCACACAGATAGCCCGGGGAGGGAGGAGTACTTCCGTGCCAGATGGTAAAGAACTATCGCATGATCAGTTGTAGAGCGTTTAATTCTGAACCCTGCTTGTTCGTGGCCAATCTGGTTAGTCTCATCTACCCATGGCGATAGTTTCGTCAGCAAAAGCTGGCATAAATTTTCCCTATGATCGAAAGGAGGCTGATGTTACGGTAATTTTCCGGCTCCATTGGAGAACCTTTTTATGAATTGGTACTATAATGGCCTCCTTCCATATTTTGGGGATGATACCAGAAGCGTTGATTGCGTCGAAGGTTTTGGCCAAGATGCCAGCCCACCATTTTGGGTGTAGTTTGATGGCTTCAGCAGGGATCAGGTCGGGCCCTGGGGCTTTGCCCAATTTCAGCTGGGCTATTAGCTTGGCTATTTCGTCAGGATCGGTGGGAGGCCAAATAGGTAGGTGGGAGAACAGATGCATCAGATGGTCATCTTTGGTTCAGCTTGCGGGTGGCCTGGAGGTACTCCAGGTTCCGGTGGTCGGTTCTCACCTCCACCGGATGTCGTGCCCCCTCAAGATGGTGGCGCCAGACCTCAAAGGCTACCTTGATGGCCAGTAGTTCCCGCTCCCACACAGTATAGTTACGCTCCGCTGGTAGGAGCTGGCGAGAATAGAAGGCACAGGGTAAGAGTGGCGCTTCAGGACCAATCTGTTGAGACAAGACGGCACCGAGAGCCGTACTGGAAGCGCCGGTCTCCACCACAAAGGGTCGAGAGGGGTCAGGATGTTGTAAGATTGGTGCCCTCTGGAAACAGGCCTTCAACCCCTGAAACGCCTCCTCTGCCTCCTTGTCCCAGGAAAACGGCGTCTTTGGGCGCAGTAGCCGGGTCAACGGGGTGGTGCGATGAGCATAATCAGCGATGAAGGTCCGGTAGTAATTGGCGAACCCCAGGAAACGCTGCAGGTCCTTGCGGTTCCGGGGTGCCGCCCATTCTTGAACCGCTGTCACCTCCCCGGGTCCATTTGCACCCCATCTGGAGAGAGCCGGTGACCAAGGAAGTCCACAGTCCGCTGATGGAACTCGCACTTGCTGAGCTTTGCGTACAAACGGTGCTCACGCAAGCGCTGCAGCACGGTCCGGACATGTCCCTCATGGCAAGCCGGGTCACGGGAGTAAATCAGTATGTCATCCAAATACACCACCACGTACTTGTCTAACAAGTCCTGAAACACGTGGTTGATGTAGCGTTGAAACACAGCAGGCGCGTTGCACAAACCGAAAGGCATAACCAAATATTCGAACTGCCCGTACCGGGTCCCAAACGCTGTCTTCCACTCATCCCCGGCTCGGATCCGAATCAAGTTGTAGGCCCCCCGGAGGTCCAGCTTGGTGAACACCTGTGCCCCTTGCACCCGCTCCAGCAGTTCCGAGATAAGGGGCAAGGGGTACCGGTCTGGGACGGTAATTTTGTTCAGGGCTCGGTAATCATGGCAAGGGCGGAGTTCCCACATTTCTTCTTAACGAAAAGCACTGGTGCCGCGGTAGGCGAGGTGGAAGGCCTAATGAACCCACGCTCCAGGTTCTTGCGCAAGAAGTCCTGCAAAGCCTCGCGCTCTGGCTCTGTTAGGGAATATAAGCGACTCACTGGTAAAGGCGCTCCGGGTTGGAGGTCTATGCCGCAGTCAAAAGGCCGATGTGGCGGCAGCTGGTCTGCCCCCCGTTCCTCGAACACGTCCTGGTAGTCCTGGTACACGGCTGGGAGCGTGGGTGCTGCCTCCTCTGGGGCGCGGCCGCCAGCGTTCCGGATTGAGCATGGGAACATGGGTCTGGGAAGTGCACGGTCCGTTTGACCCAGTCAATCTGAACGTTGTGGGCTTCCAGCCAGTCCATCCCGAGCACCAGGGGGACGCGGGGCATAGAGGCAATGTCCAAAGTCCGCAACTCCCGGTGCTGCTGGAGACACAGGACCAAGGGCTGGGTCTCCTGAGTAACGGCACCTGAACGCAGAAGTCGTCCGTCAATCGCTTCCACCTGGACCGGTACTGGCTTGTTCCGAGTGGCACCTGATGATGGGCGGCAAAAGCAGCGTCCATATAGGAGCGGGTTGCCCCTGAATCTACCAAAGCATGGGTGAGGATCCAGGGCCCACCTGGAGGGTATAAACGTACTGAAACCATAAGATGTTGCAAGTCCATTGGTGCGGGCCCATTCTGTACGGTTTGGGACCCCCGGTAGCTAGGGCCATCAGCTACTGGGGTTGGCGGTTTCCCTGCGGCTGGCGTTTCTCAGGGCAGGACCGAGCGAAGTGTCCACTTCCGCCACAGTAAAGACAGAGACTTCCCTCCCGACGCCGCGCCTTCTCTGCGGGGGAAAGGCGTGGCCGCACTGCCCCGAGCTGCATAGGCTCCTCCGTTAAATCAGTTGTGACCGTGGGGCTGCCGGAAAAAGCTGGTGCCGTGAACTGGAAGTGTCGGCGACCCGGGCCTGACGACGATCCTCCAACCGGTCGTCTATTTGTAGACTCCGTTGAATGAGAGTGTCCAGCGTGGTGGGGCGTTCCATTGTGGCCAACTGGTCCAGTACCTCGTCCGAAAGCCCTTCGAGATACTGGTCCCGCAGTGCCGAGTCATTCCAGGTCAAGTCCTGTGCCAACAGCCGAAACTCCGTGGTATATGTGGCCACCGTGGACTTGCCCTGTTTCAAACGCCGAATCGCCCGGTTGGCTTGACTCTCTTTCTGGGGGTTGCCGAACGCGGCCTCCAAACGATTGCAAAACCCCGTATAGTCTGCCAGCAAGGGGAGTCTTGCCTGAGTAACGGCAACGCCCACTTGGCCGCCTGGTCCTTTAACAAACTAATCAAAAAGTGCACCTTGGTGCGGTCGTCAGGAAAGTTCCGGGCTCGCCCCTGAATATACAGCTTGGCCTGGGCCAGGAACATGGGAAAGCTGGCCGGGGCTCCATCAAATTTCTCAGGCAAAGCCACTGGGTACTTGCCCGGAGCCGGGCGTCGGCCCCAGGAGCCGGTAGGGCTTCCAAGCGTTGCTGAAGTGCCACAACCGCGTCGCTGAGCTGCTGCACGGTGTGATTCAAGGCCTGGTTCTCCTGGGCCAAAGCCACCAGTGCAGCCGCCTGTTCAGCCATGGCCTCTGGCTCTTCCCGAACGCACCCCTACGAAGGGGAAGTGCGGGTGTGGCGGGAGCAAACTGTGCTGGTCCCGGGGTAAGGTACCTTGGGTGTAGCAGAGTCCACACGAAGAGGGGCAAGGTCCGAGGCAGAGAGCCGGGCGGGGAACAGGAATGCTGGAACAGGAGGCTGTGCAGGGAACAGGAACACCGGATGGTCGGGAACAGGAGGCCGGGCAGGGAACAGGAGTACCGGATAGTCAGGAACAGGAAGCCGAGCAGGGAACAGGAGTACCGGATAGTCAGGAACAGGAAGCCGAGCAGGGAACAGGAGCACAGGAAGGTCCGAAGCCAACAACGACGTTGCTCCCGCAACCTGGGGCCGGGCTGACTGGGCTTTTATCCTCTTCTAAGGCCAGGGGCGGTCCCGGTCCCCAGGAGCCCCGCCTCCTCTGGCCTTAAGGCGAGCACTCCTCCTGGGGGCAACCAGTTCCCTTCGCCTCTCTGCCCTAAGCCTCTGCAGATCAGGAGAGGCCGAAGGGTTACTGGGCCCTGGAGGAGGCTCACCTGTGGCCACTGAGTCATCAAGCCCCTCTGGGGCCAGAAGGGCTTCACCTGGGGCCAGCTCCTGATGCACTGCCACAGGTGCAGGCTCTTCAGCATCTAGGCCTTGCCCCAGTTCAGCCGGCCCTGGAGGCGGGGACTCCTGTGCAGGCTGGGATTCCTCTGTTTCATCCTCCGAATCGGAATCCCAGGCCATCACACCGAGGGAGCTGGCGTTTGTCCACTGACAGCTTTCTGGGTCATGGGGCCAGCATGACTACACCGCTTGTGGCACAAGAGAACACCATGGCGGAAGCCAGAACACATGGAAATGCCATTTACCTTCCCGCTGCAATGGTACCTATTTATCTAATTGCACTGGTGTGCTAGGTTGACAGAAGCTGGGACAGAGCAACGGGAGCTCAACCCGTCATGGGGATTCGAACCACCGACCTACAGCTCGGCAAGTCCAAGAGGCTCAGTGATTTAGACCACAGTGCCGCCCACATTTACCACACCAGCACAAGATAGTTTGATTCTTGTTTGAAAGAATCCTTAGGTTAAATCCTTGACTGTTTATGTCTACCTATAAAAATATGTTCAATTATCAAGAAGTGGGGAATGTAAGAACTTGTAATTTCCCTGATTTGTTAGTGTGAAAAGCATAGAACTAAATAAAATATGTCCATACTCTGTTTTCAGTTGCATTCCTTAGTGGAGACATTGTCTGTGGTTGTATAAATCTGAAGGCATCTCATATATATTTTATCAGAGTCAAGGATCCTATTAATTCAAAACCAAGGTAATTAACATTTTCACGTGTATAGCCTCCAAAACTGGGGTGGGAGGAAGAAAGCAACTGTTTTTCGAAGCTGAATAACTGATCCCATAAATTCATGTGAAGAAACCCATTTTGATGCAATTCAATGGCTCAACTCAACTCATGGTGTTAATTTACTGATGGTGCTAGAGCTAATGTTGTTGTTGTAACATCCTAAATTCACTAACTGGCCAATTTTCTTCTGGTACCCTAAATAAGTTTGACTCATCTAATGGACACCAATGGGAGATGCTGTTTCCTAGGCAACAAAAACAATTCTGAATTGCTCCTGGCTTATGTAAAATGTCAACAGTTGTGAAGACCTGGAATAATGCCCATGACCTTAAAATGTTTCTGCATAGAAAACCTATTCCTTCTCAAAGGTCGTTAGACAGTCAATGTTCTCATCCATCCTGCCGTCCTTTCCTCTAAATGGCAGGACAGCTTAGCATATTACTGAATTGTTGGCTATCCAATGTGTTCTTGAAAAGGCAGCAGAGGAAAGTAACACATTTTCAATAAGGAACAAGACAGTAGAATTGAGGATTTACGGTAGATGTTTTCATGTTGGTGCCCTCACTATCCAAATTCACAACCCTTTTGAGAATGCTGTATTGTTTGAAAACTCAGAATGCTTGCATGGCTGAAAAAAGAAAAAAGGAAAAAGTGGCTATTGAAATGTAAGTCACACTTTCCTAAAAATACACTCCAGCTTATTGTATTTGCTTCCAGAAAATATAGATAATCAAATCAAGTATATTCAAGTCGTTCTCTGTGATTACACTTCAAAAATAAGGGACAGCCATGACTAAATGAAAGAGCCAAGACTAAAATTTGTTATTACCTATCAAAACCATCCACAACTGTACAACCCTAAAACAGAAAGGAGCTTATTATAGAAAATGTCATAGATGCTGGCCATTTAAGTCTATTTTCAGATTGCCCTGATGTAATTAATTTTATCCATTTTGACCTTTTGGCTATTTTCTATTTTTATGACATATAGCATAATTATGTGGATGGAAATAAACAATTTGCAGCACTATTGTCTGCAGAATGGAAGTGGGAATCAGCTTAGATTGCAACCATTCTGTTAGTTCTGCACAGGGAAGTCCTAATGGAAGCTCAGCTGCAATCAGGACTGTAATCTTCATCTCTACATATTCAGAGTGACTAGCATCAATAAAATAAAATCTACCAAGGAAAGTAAAAACAATTCAAGAAGAAGAAAGACTGCTTTCAGAAAGCTTTACATTTCAAGTGCGCAAGCAACTCATTGATCGTAATGAAAGAAGATTCTTGATGAGTACATTGTATCAGTGATAGGCTACAGAAATGAAATTGCATAAAATTCTTGGGACGCTGTCCAGTTCTACACCTACAGATGTAAACAGAGCAATGGGCCATCCATCCATTGCACATTTCTTTATATTCTTCCTCTTTTCTCAGTGGAAGTTGGAGCATGAGTACTTTGCATTGAGACAAGGATGAAGATGAATGAAGATCAAACCGCATTCAAGGTGGCTTGTTTGATGTTTTACTGTGTTCAATATTTTAATTTGCTGGAAGCCACCCAGAGTGGCTGGGGCAACCCTGTCAGATGGGTGGCATATATTATTATTACAGTAGTATTATTATTATTATTATTAAAATATATAACTGAAACATGAGAAAAGTAGTCATAAATTGTAAATAAAACATAAAAACTACACAACCAAACTGAACAATTTTTGCAAAAATCAAAAGATCTAAAATCAGCATACATAAAAACAACAGCAACAGCCCCCACCCACCCAACAAAACACACCAAAGTCACAGTGAACCATTATGGACTAAATGAAAGTTATTGATTCATTATGAGAATGAAATGGGCATAGAAGATCCATGGGGGACTGACTAGAGATAGGAGAGAAACACAATTCAATTAGAATCTACAGGTGAACCTACCTGATCCATACTTTCCATAACAATACACAAACTGAATCACAGGCTTTGAAATTTACACTTCTCTGAATTTTGCTGTGCCATCCTACAGCTAAGCAATGTGTACGACATTAGACTAAAGTGTGCATAAAAATGCAAAGGTTTAAATAACATAAAAATGCATTATATTAATAACATAAAATTGCATTATATTAATAACATAAAATTGCATTATATTAATAACATAAAAATGCATTATATTAAAAGTTATGTTACAAAATGAGTATATTAGAAGAAATTCACACTAAAATGCTGGTGAATTTTCATGAAGACTTCTTCAAAAAATTGCAAACAGTGATGTGGGAAATGTGAAGAACTGAATTTAAGACAGGAGACTGAGAGAAAGAAAAATTGACAGATTTACTCATACCTGCACCTAAGTCAAACAAGCAAACAATGATCTCAGTATGCAGTGGTGTAAGGAGAAATAAATGAGCATTCTAGCTGACAGCACAGCAAACCATCCCTTTTTAATTATGCTCCCCAGATGCAACATGTGATGAGGCGATGAGGCATTAACAAATGGTCCAAATTCACATGACTTCTTCACCACACAGCTAGTTGTACATGCATTCATTTCCCCCAAGCCCAAGGCTGTGGTCTGTTGAAAAAAAATAGAGAAGAGATCACTATGCCTCTGTGTATTCTGCTGTTTCAAACCTAGACAGCATCTTAAAAAGCAGACACATTACCTTGCCAACAAAGGTCCGTATAGTTAAAGCTATGGTTTTCCCAGTAGTGATGTATGGAAGTGAGAGCTGGACCATAAAGAAGGCTGATCGCCGAAGAATTGATGCTTTTGAATTATGGTGCTGGAGGAGACTCGTGAGAGTCCCATGGACTGCAAGAAGATGAAACGTATCCATTCTTAAGGAAATCAGCCCTGAGTGCTCACTGGAAGGACAGATCCTGAACTGAGGCTCCAATACTTTGGCCACTTCATGAGAAGAGAAGACTCCCTGGAAAAGACCCTGATGTTGGGAAAGATAGAGGGCAGAAGGAGAAGGGGACGACAGAGGACGAGATGGTTGGATAGTGTTCTCGAAGCTACCAGCATGAGTTTGACCAAACTGCGGGAGGCAGTGGAAGACAGGAGTGCCTGGCGTGCTCTGGTCCATGGGGTCACAAAGAGTCAGACACGACTAAACGACTCAACAACAACATTCTGCTGTTTTCAGTTGACAATGGCCACTAAATTGGCCACAAGCACCACTGTTCTGGAAAGAAGAGAAGAAAGGGCCAACCTGGAACAATCTCATCTTCTGCCAGTACCAGTTCCGATTGAAATTAGAAGAAGAGGCCAAACAACAGTAATTAATTTTCCTGGATATATGTCTTTGTAGATTTTAATCTTCTCCCTTTTTTCCTCCCAAGCCCTTTGCTTACAATAGGACCCCCTGGGAACTGAGTTCATTTGCTTATTCTTTTATTTTATATCTAATTGCTATAGGTTATTGTATTTTAGTGTTTTGTTGGAAGCCGCTCAGAGTGGCTGGGGAAACCCAGCCAAATGGGCAGGGTATAAATAATAAATTATTATTATTATTATTATTATTATTATTATTATTATTATTATTACTACATACCCTGAATCCTTGGAACAAGGTGGCACAAACTGAATGACTATATTTGCTTCTATTTTATTTTATTTTAAGATGAATCTGCTTGAATTTTAGCTTCATTGCAACTGGAAATGAGATGAGCGCTGCTTCTTGATGCTGCACAAACTAGTCTTTCTCCAAAATGTCGTCGTTCTCAGTACTTTGCAGAAAGAACAGCCCAGCTGGCCTTCCCTGATTTTATACGTGGCGATAAAGCAGGAGTTACAAATTGCATAGGGTTTTTTATTACAGAAAACAAAATCCTTTTTTTAAAAAGTGTTCAATGAATGGCTCATTACATACTGTCAAATCAATACTTCTAAGCCATATCCACTTGCGAGGTTTGACTCAAAACAACTTTCATTACGCTTTTACCCTTGGCAAAGATATTCTAGCAGACAACAATTTCCTGATTCATCTCTGTTTACATCATACACATGCAGCTTACACAACATGCTATTCTTAAATAAATGAGGACAGGAGCAATGAAGCTATACGGAATGTTATTATACGGTAATAGAAAAAGCCGGAAAGAAGATGCTGTGCTCTAAGTGTGGGCTCTTTGTCATTATAACAGTCATAGTTTGCTTCCACCCATAAGCACCCATCAACAGGTCAGTCCTTTGTATCACGTTGAAAGAAAGAAGATGCTTTAAACATGAGACTGGTGATAGAATTCCTGACAACAGCATTGGTCTGGCGCTGGAATTATTTTTACCCAAATATCAAAACTTGAAGCTTTATTTATTTATTTATTTAGAATATTTATATACCAATTTTCAGCAAAGGGTTCCCAAAGCAGATTGTGTTGTACCAACTGGCTTACATGTACGCTTAAATAATGTAAAGGTAGAAGAACACACAAATATTTAGAAATGAACACGTGTACTCTTTCACACAAACACTTGTACATAGGTGCAGACGCTCTGTACAAGTGTTAAGTGTAAGATGTGAACAATACAAATCTGTTTGTCCTCTACAGTGTCAGGTTTCAAAATGTAAATCTTCTACCCTAGAACAAAGTAGCAGATCTCCTCATCCAAAAACTATCGTCTGCTCAGGTTCTGACTTTGTTAGCCCAGAAAATTACCTCCGAGGAGCACCCACTCCCAAGACAATTTGCAGAGCAAATTACAATATCAGATTAAAAGAACAGGGACGTTCTCAAGAAACAGTTCTGGGCTGATGCTTAAACTCCTAACAGAAGCTGGCTTGGTGGAGTTGCTTTCTTCCTTTGAGAATGTCAGTTATAGTTCTGGGTGTCATGGTCTCAAGCCATAGGCTAAGATTATGCCACCCCTGATTGATGTCAATCAATACAGCTAAAGCAAAAGAGTATTGATAAAACTATGAAAACCACTGCAGGTGGCGCAGTGTTCTAAACCACAGAGCCTATGGCTTGCCGATCAGAAGGTCACCAGTTTGAATCCCTGTGACGAGGTGAGCTCCCGTTGTTCGGTCCCAGCTCCAGCCCACCTAGCAGTTTGAAAGCACAAAGTGCAAGTAGATAAATAGGTACCACTCCAACGGGAAGGTAAATGGTGTTTCCATGCGCTGTTCTGGTTCACCAGAAGCAGCTTAGTCATGCTAACCACAGGACCAGGAAGCTGTCTGCGGACAAAGGCCAGCTCCCTTGGCCTATAGAGCGAGATGAGCGCACAACCCCAGAGTCGTCCGTGACTGGACCTAACGGTCAGGGGTACTTTTACCTTTACCTTTTATGAAAATTTATCAAAAGCGTCCCCCCCACACCCTAGCTTGTACCCAGATTTCTTCTGAATAATGACCTACAATCCACATGTTTAGTAGGAAGTTGATATTTAAGCATCCATGCTGCTTTTACAGAAAATAAAGGGCAAGGATGAGTGAAAAGAGCCTTGGCTCAGATGATCTAGTACATAGTACATAGAGATGTGAAGTAGAAACAGTCTGCCCATTGGTCGTAGTTAGAGCTGGGGGAGAAATTCTATTACACTCACATTTAAAGCCGAACATATCAAATTTTCACTTTCCAAAACAATAAGAGAACTGAAACACAGCCATCCTTCAAAATTTACACTTATCTGAATTTTATGACACAGTTCTATGACCTATCAATGTTTATTTTTTTTTAAAAAAAAAACACCACTACATATATTAGGGGCAAGTGTACATAAAAATGAAAATAACAGTGAAAATAACATACAAAATGCATTATATTAGGATTATATTCTCAGAAATGTGTAGATTAGTCAAAGCTGCATGAAAAAATTGTTTTATTATGATAAATTGTCAATAAAATTTTGGAGAGAAAAATGGATTTTTTAAAAAAATGAAACATTCACACATTGCTGCGGGAATGTGGGGAACTGAATTAAGGACTGGAAAACGGAAAAACGGAACCATAAGTGGCAGTTCCTTGCATCCTTATTGATGTCCTCATTTATTTATTTATTTCATCTATATCCTACCCTTTTCTTCCAGAAGCTCAGGGTAGCATACAGAATCCTCTTCAATAAATCCCAACCATCTTCTGCGTCAGGTTATGCTGAGAGGCGGTGACTGGCTCAAGATCACCCAGTGAGCTACATGGCCAAGTGGGAATTTGAACCCTGGTCTCTTCCAGAACATAGCCCAACACTCTAACCGCTGTACAACATTATCACATGTTGTCAGTTGCCAAAATATTCAGGAGTTTTACATGAATCTAAATAACTCAGTGCACATATGTGGCATGGTCTGGAAGGTGTCACGTAATAATTGCTAAAACCGGATCGTGATAAGCTGAGAGCCAGCTATAAAGCCAATATTTCTCTTTTCTTTTCAGCCCTCTTTTATTAGCATTATATCAAGGAAATTGTCGGTGCTTTGTATTCTCCACAGGTCACAATGAATTGCACAACGAATTAGTAACAAGAATATGTTGGGAACAGTTAAAACAGTCCTGAGGCTCAGAGCTAACAAGCCCAGATTCAAATGAGAACTACTATCTGAAAAGTGACTGACGAGAAGCAGTTAGGGGTGGTCTATAAAGCATGTGAAATATCAAGTGATGGCTAAATTGCCTCAAAAGAGGGTGGCAGAATTGGTCATAAACAGGCTGGAGATGACAGAGATCAATGGAGGACATTTCAAAGAAGCCTCAGCAAACTTGCAATATACTATATGGACAGTTATTTTGAGAAATTGTGCCACCTAACACCACCGTATAGCAAACATCCTGAGATAAAACTTGTATACTGAAATAGGAACTTCTTAATTTGCTCAATAAAGGCAACTTAAAACCTTGTGGATAGTTGTTTTACGTGGTTAGACTTTGTTCCAGGTGGCTTACAACATTTTGCAGTGTCGATGCAGGGAGCAGGTGCACTGTGAGGAGGGTATTTGGTGGTTTCTCAGGCCCTGAACAGACAACTTTTGTGCCACAAGATATTCTCCCCCAAATATTATTTCTTTTGCCAGAAAAAGCAGCATTAAGGTCATAATTCCCCGTGTGCGGGGAGAAGAATTTTAGTACATCTTCTCTGTGGTGTTTTCTCACTCAAAATGCCCCCGACCTTGTGGTACGTGTAGGGACAAATAGCAGCTCAGGGTGCGGTGGGGAAATTACCCAATGAGTGAAATAGGGCAATGGGCCAAAAGTACCCTCCCCATATCCCATTGTTCCAGATAGTGATAGAAAAGAAAAGCCCAACAGAGACAAGCACATCTATTTCAGGGCCTCAGGTAAGATGCTTTCCATGAGTTTCAGAGGTAGTTTAAATGAGTTATCATTTAATCCCTTCTTCATATCTCCAAATCAAGAGTTGACCCGTTTGATTTACATGGGCTTTCCCTATTGGCTTAGTGAAACAGTTCTTATAGTTCATTCCATATGGCTTTTCCCATTGTGTCCCATAGCCTATGAATTAAAAAGGCAATGCCTTTAATCAAGCACCCAATACTCTTCAGTTATCAGCCTGGGGCCATCCCATATCCTATTCTAGGCACGTGGGTGGTGCTGTGGCCTAAACCACTGAGCCTCTTGGGCTTGCCGATCGAAGGTCAGCAGTTTGAATCCCCGCGACGGAGTGAGCTCCTGTTGTGCTGTCCCAGCTTCTGCCAACCTAGCAAATCGAAAGCACGCCAGGGCAAGTAGATAAATATATACCACTGCAGTGGGAAAGTAAACGGCGTTTCTGTGCGGTCTGGTTTCTATCAAGGTGTCCCATTGTGTCAGAAGTGGTTTAGTCCTGCTGGCCACATGACCCGGAAAGCTGTCTGTGGACAAATGCTGGCTCCCTCGGCCTGAAAGCAAGATGAGTGCCACAGCCCCATAGTCATCTTTGACTAAACTTAACCATCCAGCAGTCCTTTACCTTTTAACATATCCTATTACTTGTTAAATCTGTCATCTCCTCTACTGTCTCTGTGTTTTCCCGCTTTCCCTGTCTTTGCCTATCATGTTATTGTCTCCTTTGCTTTCCCAGCTTATATAATTTAAATGTCGAATATAAATCGTTACTTAGCACCAACTTCTTACAAGTAAGCACACCTGAGGAAGAAGAAGAAGAAGAAGAAGAAGAAGAAGAAGAAGAAGAAGAAGAAGCCACTCTGGGCGGCTTCCAGCAAAATATTAAAATACAAAGGCCTGCCTTTGCTTCATTCTCTGACCCCTCTACCTCCTTTTGTGACTCTCCTTCCAAAACTTAGCCATACTTAGAGGGGAGGCCCACTACAAATGATGTGTTGCTTTTTTAGTCACAACTAATTTAGGTCCCATTGATTTCAATGGGCCTGTTATAAGTCTGCATCCAGCCCTCCAATCTTAACTGATTATTAAAGAATTAATGGCAATACAACATTGATAATCTCACCCATCTTGGGTTGAAGGGAGGGATTCTGACATGCGTACATTACTTCCATAGAGTCTTGAGCCTAGGGAGCTCTCATTATATAAATCAAACACGTGATCCTGTCCCCACCCAGAAACACCATTGAAACAACGTGAAATAAATGTCACCTTCACAATCAGTTTCTGGAGTTGGATTTCAACATTCTGGGCTCATGTTAGCCTCAGAAGTAGACTATTTTTTCTTGAGAATTGAGATGATGGGTCTGTTTGTTACCTGCTATTCAACCTGAAGTCCCATCACAACAATTTAAAGAACAACATCAAACCAAATTAACTGGATTTAAAAATTCATTTGCACCAGAATTCTTCCCTCGTCCACCACTGTTAGTGCCCTGCCCTTAAAATACGCTGACTTTACTTATTGTTCAAAATTCGAATGTGTCCTACTGCCTTTTGAGTTTATTAGCTGGTAATTCCCAGAAGGAATGAAATTACTTGTTTAGTAGTCTGAGACAAGCAGTTTTCAAGGGCAGAAACATCCATCACAAATTAAGCAACTCTGTTCATAATTTATGAAGTAATAGTGGTTTCCTAGATATACAACTGGAAGATAAATCACCTGTTCTTAGGAAGCCAGGGACACTTGTAATCTTGATTGTTTTAACGTTTGTGGAGCTGTTCCACTGTCACAATCACTTGCCTAAAGGTGAGCCACGGGTGGCATATTTAATGGCACATTGAAGAAACAGTTCTCACAAAAACAATAACCAGCTGCTAAACACCTTGTATCTTTCCAATAGGAGAGCGCTCTTTTAAAAGCAATAAAATGTGTGTGTGTTAAATTAATGAAATGAAAGGATAATGGTCTCCTAGTGTTTTAAAGCTTATTGTCGGTGGAGGAAGCATTGATCCAAAGTTGAAGATAAGGAAACTTTTGTGTTCCTTCTGGCCAAGGATTCGCAGTGTAGTTGTGATGGCAGTGTTGTTGAATGATGATCTGTTAAATCAGTGCTTTTTTTTCTTTAAAAAAAATGTTTAGGGGTACTCTCATTTTCCTACTCATATTGAAATACTGCCCCTCCATGAGGCCAAACTTAGATTCACAAAATGTTTAGGGGTATGCCTCCCCCTGCGTCCCCCCAGAAAAAACCCAGTGTGTTAAAGAAACATTGTTGCCATAACGGTCAGGATGGGGGAAATCTGTCAATTCTGCTTTCTGGTTTTTTTCCTAGTCTTAAATTCAGTTTGCCTCATTTCCACATCAGCCCAAATGTATTTTTAAAAGAAAAAGTCCTCATGAAAATTTGTCAACATATTAGTTTCTCCTATTGTACATACCTTGCAAAATGCAAAAGGAAATCTGATTCATATTCCTACATTATTTTCACTGGTACATGGATTTTTATGTACACACACCCCTAATATACATCCTTTTTAGTATGCCTCTCTATTCTTTCTTATTTTGTTTCCTCCTAAGAGCTCACTTTGTTGATTGGAGAGCTACATCACAAAATTCAAATCAGTGTGAATTTTGAAAGATAGCTGATATTGTTTCAGGCAGTGGGACCATATGAAAAGCCCTGCCAGATTTGACCAAAGTGGAGGAAGAATATAGCCAAGATGGCTATTAGCCATTGATAGCCTTATTCCCCATGAATTTGTCTTATAATTGTATACATCTATATAGTTGCAATTGAAATTATTCAAATTGGGTTTACATTTACAGATTTTCAGCTGCTTACATCAAGCAAATCAAACAAAAGCAATTGAAATAGCTCAGCGCAACGGATGCTTCAAGTGGTTCCCCCAAATTCAGATGAAATGGCAACATATGTTGTCTTCTCCAGTCTTACTATTATTCAACCCCTTCATGGCAAGCATCTTAGTAGAGCAGCCTTTTGCTGCCATGACCTGCTTCAAACGAGATACATAGCCAGACAGCAAAGTCCTGCAGTGTTCCTCAGAAATCATACCCCATTCCTCATGAACAATGGCCTCCAGTTCAGTAACATTCTTGGGTTTTCATGCTGCAATTGCCTTCTTCAAATCCCACCAGAGATTTTCTATGGGGTTCAAGTCAGTCAACTGTGATGGCCACTGTAGAACCTTCCAGGACTACTTCTGCACCCAAGCCTTGCTGGAATTTGAGGTATGCTTGACATTCTTGTTCTGTCAGAAGGTCCATTGACGCTGAATCAAATTAAAAAGCCCCACACATTACATTGTTTCCTCATAAGAGAATTAGTTCAACCCTGTGATCACTTTGGTTGCCCTTTTCTGAAGCTTTTCTAGGTCTACATTATAGAAGGAAAGACAGAAGATAATGATTAATAATAATTTATTATTTATACACCGCCCATTTGGCCGGGTTCCCCCAGCCACTCTGGGCAGCTTCCAACAGACTATTAAAATACAGTAGTCCAAACATTAAAAGCTTCCCTAAATAGAGCTGCCTTCAGATGTCTTCTAAAAGTCTGGTAGTTGTTGTTCTCTTTGACATCTGGTGGGAGGACATTCCACAGGGTGGGTGCCACTACTGAGAAGGCCCTCTGCCTGGTTCCCTGTAACTTGGCTTCTCGCAGTGAGGGAATCTCCAGAAGGCCCTCGGCACTGGACCTCAGTGTCTGGGCAGAATGATGGAGGTGGAGACGCTCCTTCAGGTATTATGGAGAAAAACAGGTTTTGTATATGCTAAGAATTCTCTCATTATTTGGTAGCATGGTAGTAAATATTCTACTTCTAGGCCAGTATAGTAACAGTCCAAAGGTTTGAAATGGTAGCACCAGAGTGTTTCCCCATAATATGAGCATCTAGAATAGTGGTAGACCTCTGGATATTTTTGTAACTCATAAACTGTTGGCCGAGTGACCAGGATAATGGGAGTTATAGTCTAACAATAACTGAAGGGCATCACATAAGCTACCCCAGGTCTAGAATTTTATATTGGATCTCCCGTCCAAGGAAATATCCTGGTCGTGACTACACCCCATCTGCCCTGTCCCCACTTTTTCTACACTGCATTAACATACAATGACCGCTCCCCGCTTAAAACGGGGGGCGCACTTTGTGTGGACGCGCGCAGCCCCTAGATCTGGAGCGGCTCCAACAGCATAGGCTTGGTTTGCCTTCCCTCAGGTGGGATACCTGGAGGTCTCCGCCTACCTCAGTCAGTTGTCCAATCCCACCTGGAAAGCGTTGCAAAGGAGACCAGGCCAGGTAGGGGAGGGATTACCTGCCCACACAATAGAGGGAGGATCTTACCTGGGAATCCTCACTTGGCTCCAGAGCTTCTCCCACCCTACCCACCCTCAGTTAATGTCTTATTTGCAGGTTAACTTTTCTTCACAGGTTTTGCAGGTTAATTTTTCTTCGCAGGTATGCGGGCGCTGCT